CTGTTTGATGCCGGTGTAAAAATGCGCCCAAAGCCACCTAACGTTCTGCGCGTCTTAGAAAATGAGGACTTGTGCAACATGGATGAAGATTCAAGTACCCTAATTTCTAGAATAGTGCGCACAATGTAATCTTGAATGGAAGCTTATGAAGTGAACCTGATGTTAATCTTACCTTGGTTTTATCATTTGCATTTCAAAAGATGCCGAGATATTTTTTTGTACATTGATTTGAAATGCGCTAAAAGCGCGGCTTATGCACTCGAAATTATGCTCTTCAATGACAATGTTGATAGTAGTGGAATCCGCTCCGCTAGAAATTGTATGAGATCACAATCCAAGATTTTATAGTTGAAAATGTCATGGAACTTCTAGTCTCCCGTCTACAACATAGTGTGTTTGGCTTAATCAATGATAAAACCACTGATTGAGCCAAGCACACTATGTTGTCGACGGGAGATATGCTGCTAATACTTCCGGTTTCCTTCAAAGAAAACGGCACACGTAGCGCTGGCAAAACTTGACATCTGTCTTGCAAACTGTGCATCTCACAATCAGTGTCTTACATTCACGATAGATGAAAGTGAGCCCATTGATAAAACCAATCCTACAAAATTTGCAGTTTACATTTGACAACAGACTGTTGGCACAAAATGAACGAAGTAATAATAAGTGTTAGAAGTAATCTAGATTCGGTTTATCTATGGAAACAACTTTGAAGTTAATTGCAACCGTAAGTTTTACTCCTTTACTTCAGCTGTGCTTAATGAAGTGCTCGTTTCGGTGACTGTTTCTTCATTTATGTAATATTTTTGAAGATACAGTAATACAGTGGAATTTGAATATTCCTGATAAGCTTCCTTTAATGCGCATTACTTGAAAAGCAGATTATTTAGCTTTAATGTTTGATCATGTGAGATATAATATGGATATATGATGTAGAAAGGTGTAAAAATTGTGTTTTCTTATCCTTTTATTTAGGATCCATAGAGTTGATTTTGTCTCTCGAATTATTGCCGTTCAGCTGACCTTAGCTCGATTTGCAAGTAATATTTAGTAGATCAGAGGTCAATTATTCTCGTCTATGCTTTTTCAAGGTGTATTACCTTCTACTACACACTACTCTGTACTTCAAGCACATACTCATCTACGCAATTGTTTTCACTTTATCTTGAGATTTACAATCATAGAAGCCGAGCGCAGTGGTATAGAGCACAGCGGATTAAGTATCATTTCTTGCAACGCTAGGCTTTACTAATGTCAGAGATTCAAAAGCCTTGTAAGATTTCGCACTATAAAGTAGTGGGAAGTTTTTCGGGTAAGAATTTTTCTACGAAATAACAATAAATTGCTTTTTTAAGGCTAATTGCGTTTCTTAGCTCGAATGAACCTGACTGTGATGTTTGAACTTACCAGTACCGTACTCCTAAAAGTTATCAGGAGCGAAAGAAGACGATAATGTAAATTACAAGAGGATGTCTGACATTAGCTTCTAATTGCGTACTTTTTGAATTATTTTTCGAATTTGTACAGTAATCAAACCCATCTGAACTGCTTCGGTATCTGAAGAATTCGTCTACAGCGAACCGAGATATGCGTTCTCTTTTAGTGCGTTTATGACTGTAGCGGGGCATGTATAAGATACCATGTTTTTTTTCACTATCGTAGTCAATATCTTATCTTACATCCTTGGAAATGATCTGGAATTATAAAGTCAAGCTACTCGCAGATTGCCAAGGCAGTCTAGACAATTCCTATTTTAACCTCTATATGCCTTTTCAGAGCTCATCTGTGACCTCTGCCAAAAAACAAGGATCGAATCCATTTGAAGATGACGACTTAAATCCATTTGCGGAGTCTGCTATGGGAAGTAGCGCATCTTCTGATACAACAGTCCAACGAAGTTCTTTTTCATCAGCATCTGCACATAGGACCTACGACGATTCGAAAAATCCATTTGCACAAAGCACTAATCCATTTGATGAGTAATTGGGTAGGTCCTGGCTATAAATCCAAGGATTTTTTCAAAGATGACGGTTTTGTTCTATCTCTGTGATAAGAGTAACGTATACCTGAAGCATTTGCGAGTTTAACGTTTTTAACGCAAAAGAAGAATGTGAATGATTCATTCTTTGTGACACAAACGAATGTCTATAATAATGCATGCAGATGTTGGCTGACCACTGTTGTAAATCTTTATTCCCGTATGTTTGATAATCTTCATCACTATGATAAATTGTCGAAGCTTTTTCTGGTTGAACAAGTAGTTGGCCTAAAAAATGTATAGATTACTTAGGAAAAGCTTTTAGTAGAGAGTTTTGAAAAATTTGGGAAGGTTTTAATGTTATAAGATTACGCTGCAATTGACGAAGTGGTAGGTAGTCACTGTGCCTTTCAGAGATTGCGGCCAAAAGTTCCTAATTTATCACATATCTACTAATCTGATTATCTGGATGAATATACCCATTTTTATTGGGCCAGCGTGTCCCATTGTGAACTAGTTATTTGAAACCTTAAAGTTTTGATTTCAAGAGCCTTGAGGTAATTGAAAAATTTTGATAATAATGCTTTAGATAGAAGTTTGTTTGATCTTCAATATTTAAAGAATTTTGTATGCAAATTTATGCTTTTTAAGCTAAATTGCTCTTGAAAATTTTTTAGCGAAAACTTCTCATTTCGTTGTGCAAAGATCATTGCCAAAGTTCTCATCATTCAGCTAGCTTAATATCGTATTTCATATGCAAGGTCATCTTTACAGCACGCATAGTTCGCCGCATACCTACGCTTCTTTTGTTTACTTCTCAACGAATTCTCTCACTTGATCTAAGGATACGATCGTGGTCTTATAATCTGTAAACTGGGTTAACGCACAG